TAAGGCAACAGAAATGAGGTAAGGACATAAATCTGGCCCTCTAGCTCCAAAATATTAGGGAGTATCTTCCTTTGACATCTATCCCGTAATCACTGAGACTCAAAACAGTCATGTCATTCACTCAAGATGGCAAAAGAAAACTCAAGGCCATCTACTTCCTACTCAGGTTTTCCATAAAAGGCCAGCCAAAAAGCCCTCAGTGGCAACCTTGTTGGGACCCTTCTCAGTTCTGAGAGCTTTCTCTGTTATCTGCTTAATAAACTTCTATCGCTTTACTTGCTCTCCTTTGTCCACAAGATTCATTCTTGGACTCCATGAGACAAGAACCGAGCCCTCTTGCTTCACCTGTAGGGGCGCTTGGGTGGCTCAGTCAGTCAAGTGACTGTCTTTGGCTCAGGTCATGATGCTGGGGTCCTGGGATCAAGTCCCACATCGAGCTCTCTGCTCAGTGGGGAACCTGTCTCTCCCTCTACCCTATTCCCCGTCTCTGGAAAAATTAAAACAAACAAACAAACAAACAAACAAAAAAAAACCCCAACCCTAATGGCTGGCCATGCATAGGAAAAGCTGTATCTCCTTAACTTACCAAACCCAGCACAACAAACTAGCCACAACCAGCTTTTTCTGGCCTCACCATCTACCTTTTCTCCTCATCATATAAATTCTTCATTCTATTCTCAGAAAATGTTCTTCAAACCAGCTCTGGTCTTCGGAACCCTAATGCTTTTACACATCCTAATCCCTGTCTAGAATGCCACCACCAACTCTACCACTTCTCTGATAAACTCAAACTTCACAGTCAAATGCAAACAAGTTCTCAGTGGTAAGTTTGTCCCAACTGCCTGGAATTACTACTTGTTCCTCTCTTTCTGCTCCAAAAGCACTTTTTACTTACCTCTGTTATTACTTACTTTGTACTGTCCCTTTTGTTTACACATCTTTTTCTCTCCCGTTAGAGACTAACTCAACAACTTCCAAGCTAACAGCACTGATTATTTCAGTTGGCCAGAACCATGTCTTTTCATGGTTGTCTCCTTGGCATAGTGCCAGGTACATAATAAATGCACAATAAATTAATCAGGGCCAGGGAACAGTCTGAGGAAATTAAAGTGGCTCTGACAGAAATAATTAATAGTAAAGGAGAAAAAAGAGTGCCTTGTAAAGTAAACCTTCTTGACCACTACTTCTTTAGTTCTCATCAATGGGACTGGTTTCTTTACACCGGAGGCCTTGGTCCCAGTTCCAGGGATATGTTCAGCATATTCTGAAAATACATTTCCTCTGAAAGGTAAATATGTCCTACTGCAATCCTTTGTGAACAATGACTAGCCACTAGTATCTATGTCTGTATGATCATTGTCTTTACCTATGGAGTTTGACCCCTCCCCCCAAAAAAAAGTCCTGAATTATTTATCATATTTAAGATGACACTGGCTGTAAGATACACTATTATTTTATGTATCACTAAAAGAAGAAAATGCTGACAATTACACTATGAAATTGATTGTAAGACTCATCTGATAGAGCTTATATATATGTGTTTTAATATATGTCATAGAATCAGCTAAATGAAATATGAAATATATTATTAGGTTTGAAGAAAAGCTTTTGATTACTGCTTGCTTTCCTTGTACTAAGAGCAGAAAAACCAAACAAAAACATTTGAAAACTTCAAAGAAATTTGGTGTCCAGAATCTAACACAATGGGCCAGTGAAGAGAAGTACTTGGTGTGGAGCCAGATGGTGGCAGTAGAAGAGCAAACAAGCAGATTAGCAACTCTCAGAAAGATGACAGAATGACCAAGGAATTATTCATTCATAAATATTAACTGAGCAATTAGTATGTGCAAGGCATCACACTGGGGATGAAAGATATCATTGTGAATAAAATCAGAATCCTTGCACTTAGAAAACATACTATCTTATGTTTTAGACAGAGTTGATAAAACAATCACAGATATGGATGTGTGTTTACAAACTGAGATAGGTGATATAAAGGAGCACATGTAGGAAAAAAGATCTGACCTAAACTGGAGGCACAGAACACATTGTTTAGGAATCAGTCTTTGGGGATCCCTGGGTGGCACAGCGGTTTGGCGCCTGCCTTTGGCCCAGGGCGCGATCCTGGAGACCCGGGATCGAATCCCACGTCGGGCTCCCGGTGCATGGAGCCTGCTTCTCCCTCTGCCTATGTCTCTGCCTCTCTCTCTCTCTCTCTCTGTGTGTGACTATCAAAAATTAAAACAAAAAAAAAACAAAAAAAAAAAAAACAAAAAAAAAAACAACCAAACACCTAAAAAAAAAAAAAAAAAAGGAATCAGTCTTTGAATAGATATTTGGAAGCAATGGTGGTAAGGGCATGGGTGTGTTCCCAGTCAAGAGGGAACAGCAAATAAGAGCTTCCAGGAACTGAAAGACTATCACTCTGGAAGCATAAGAGTGGAGAGTCAGAAAAGTATAAGGCAGAGGTCATGTTATACAGAGCCTTGCAGGCAACTGAGTATTAGTAAGATAGGCTGCGGTGGGGGGTGGGTGGACATACATGGTGCATAAGAGCACACAAAGCTATTGTGAAGTCTGTTAAAAAGCTATGTGATGGGGGCACCTGGGTGGCTCATTTGGTTAAGCATGTGATTTTGGTTCAGGTCATGATCTTAGGGTCCTGGGATTGAGCCTCATGTCAGGCTCTCTGCTCAGCAGGGGTCTGCTTCTGCTTCTTTCTCTTTCCTTCTGACTCTACCCTTGCTTGTGCTTTCTCTCTCTCAAATAAATAAATAAATAAAATCTTAAAAAAAAAAGGCAGGGGTGGGGTGGGAGGGCACCTGGGTGACTCAGTGGTTGAGAGTCTGCCTTGGGCTCAGGTCGTGATCACAGGGTCCTGGGATCGAGCTCCACATCAGGCTCCCCGCAGTGAGCCTGTTTCTCCCTCTATGTCTCTGCCTCTTTCTCTGTGTCTGCCATAAATAAATAAATAAAATTTCAAAAAAAAAAAAAAAAAAAAGCTCCGTGATGGTGGTAGAGGTCAAGAAGACTAATGGGTTCAAGAGATATTTATAGAGTCAAAAAAAGTCAACAGCACATGTTAATAAATTGGGTATGGGTATTAAGGGAGAGGAAATAGTTGGGATGCTTTCAGGTTTTCTGACTATGCAAGTGGAAGATGTCATTTAAGACTGAGAACAGAGGAAGAAGCTCTGTTTGGGAAGAAATGAGCAGATGAGGGTGTGGTGTGACTATCATGAGTCTTGCCTCAGATATAGTGAGTTTGAGATGCCTTAAGGAGATCCAAATGGAAATGCTGACCAAGCAATTGGGTATGTGGGTATGAAGCTCAAAGAAGTGTCTAAGCCAGAAAAAAGTCTAAGATTGAACACTGAGGACTCCAGACTGATACGGTACTGGCTGGTGGGGTACAAAGGACCTCGGAGTTCTCATATTTCTTTAACTCAGGACCTAGTGGATTTGTTTTCCTGCAATAGGTTGCCTCTAACACTTAGAGCTGGGAGGATCTTTCCTTCTATTTCAATTGGAAAAAACATGTCAAGATGCTCCAAGTTTGAACTCTGAATGTGGTTTTTTTTTTAAGATTTTATTTATTTATTCATGAGACATAGAGAGAGAGAGAGGGGCAGAGACATAAGCAGAGGGAGAAGCAGGCTCCTCAGGGGGAGCTTGATGCAGGACTCGATCCCAGGACCCTGGGATCACAGCCTAAGCTGAACGCAGACACTCAATCACTGAGCCACCCAGATGCCCCTGAATGTGTTTTTCAAAGAAACATGGTGTTTTGGTCACTGACCCAGTACTGTTTTGCTTTTTTTTTTTTGCCATTAGAGAACACTCATGCATTTGTAAGTGGGTGGTGGTGGGGAATCAGGCAGCTAACCATGATTAAATAAAGATTCCTTCTGAGTTCCAGGAGCCCCCTTAACATATGAAGTTTGGAAATATAAGTGTTATATAATCCATCTATAAACTTGAGGACTGCCTATATTGTTAGCTCTGAAACAATACACTAAAATAAAATTAGAGCAAGTGAAAGCACTCCTATGCATTTAAAAAATATTAAGTTGCTCAGCTTAGGAACTTAGTAAGAATAATCTTATGAGCCTGTGTCTCCTATTGTAGAATACATCCACTATGCAGAAATTTTGTGCAGATTAGAAATTTATTAATATAACCTAACAATATTTAGAACACAGTAAATGCTATTAATAAAAACATTTAAAAATAAAATTGCATTGATTTGTATTTGCATTGATTTGTATGTGCATGTAACTCTCCAACTTGAGGAAGCATACAAAAATAAGTGTAAGTATTGTAAACCTAGCTAATCTTCTGTCTCTACCTTTCTCTGTTCTAGCTGTTTTCTTCAGTTGGATTTGACCAGATACTGCCCAGGCACATTAATAACTCTGTGCTGCTCTCTAGTGGTAAATACAGAATATAGTTCATTAAATGCTTTTTGATAACCTTTCCAAACAATGAAATTCTAAGAAACATCAACAAGAGAAAGTATTTAAGTATAAATTTGCAGTCTGCTACCACTGATAACAGATGAAGAGTTAGCATCACTGCTATCAATTTATTATTGTAAGATTTTATTTATTTATGAGAAAGAGAGCAGGAACAGGGAGAGGGAGAGGGAGAAGCAGGCTACCCAATGAGCCAGAAGCCCGATGAGGGGCCCAGGGCTCAATCCCAGGACCCCAGGATCATGGCCTGAGCTGAAGGCAGATGCTTAACTGACTGAGCCACCTAGGCACCCCTCAATTAATTATTTTAATTACAAACATTTTTCATGGGGATAAAAAGCTCCTTGAAGGGAAGGCCTATCTTTCTAGTGCTTGCAGGATCTTTCACTGAGAAAGTCACAGAGGACATTCAGCTAGTATTAAAAATTAAAAAAAAAAAAATTACTTGATGTAGTAGGTAAACAAACTTCATCACTGGTGGTTTGGGTTTTTTGGTGAAGTGTTATTTTTTATTTTCATTTTTACCTTGTAACAGTCTCCTCCAGGAATGATTTCCTGAATATATACCAAGGGACCTTCATTTCGGTTAATTCCTCCTAGGATCTTCAGACCAAGGCCTGTTTCCTTGGTAATTGTAATCATCTGAAAGGCAGGATCCCTAAGATAAAGTAAATTAGCACTCACAGGTTAGCCTAGAGATCTTTGCCTACTTTCTCTTTAAACTACTTGTTAAACCAAATTCTTAGATCTAGATAACCCCAAATACTCAGTACATATTAGCAACGACATTTAGAAAAGTATGGTGATAGAAGAGCAAACAAATGGATTCTATTAACCTCTATTATTTATTTTTTCCTATGAAACAATTAAACCATAGACAAAATCACAGCAATAATACTTATTTCTTTAGAGCAGAACAAAGAAAAATACCTTCAACATAGGATTTAAATAAATGTAAATATTTATTAAAGGGATCTGAAGAGATGTGCCTTTAGTTGACTTTTAGATTACACTGAAGGGGGAATCCCTGGGTGGCGCAGCGGTTTAGCGCCTGCCTTTGGCCCAGGGCGCGATCCTGAAGACCCGGGATCGAATCCCATGTCGGGCTCCCGGTGCATGGAGCCTGCTTCTCCCTCTGCCTGTGTCTCTGCCTCTGCCTCTCTCTCTTTCTCTCTTTCTGTGTGACTATCATAAATAAATAAAAATTAAAAAAAAAAACTATTCATTCTCATTATTCTTTAAAAAAAATAGATTACACTGAAGGATTCCAAAATTAAAGATTTTAATGAGTTAGGTAAGTGACTTTTTAAAAGACATTATTGGTAAAAGAAACTTAAAGTGTCTTTTAAAAGGCCATTTATAACAAAATAAATATGACCTCCATTTGAATCTCAAAAGGAAAAGTTATCTTTTTAATTTAGAAAGAGTATGTTTTCATAGAAAGCATGTGCTCCATCCATATTTAACATCAAACTTAAGAGCAATGTCATTACTGCCAAAAGAATTTTGTGCAAGTTATACCCCCCTATTTGTGTTTCTGAACACTCCTATCAGAACAGAAACTTGGAACAGTTTGAAATAAGGCTTAGAGCTGCCCGCTTACCAGTGATGTACTGGGCACTGTGTTCATCAATATTTATACATTATGCCATTCAATTTAATTATTTTTACAACTCTTAAAATTATTACTCTTATTTTTCTAAAAGCACCAAAATCTGGGAAGGTTAACTTGGTGGTCTAAGGTTATGAAGTCAGAAAACAGCAATAGAAACCCAGTTTGTCTTACTCCAGAGGTAAATTGTGGTATAACTCCAGAGGTAAATTGTGGTATAAGATCTACTTTCTTGCCGTATTAAAGCCATTGTTGAATATAGGACTTTCAGTTATTTTCAAACATATCAAAAAACTCAAACTGCTATTAAAAAAGAGTTGCCTTATATCTTAATTATGATTATAGCTTTTAGAAAAAAAACTTTCTTAGCTTTTGCCATAGAAATTCTAATGATATCTTTAAGAAAGTGCGTTCAAAAGTTAAATCATAAAAAATTGAAAGAAATTAAACTATAAAAAAAATCTTACAAACCTCCCTGCTTTTAAATATTTTGCTTTTTATTATACTGAATTAAGGCTCTAGTGTTGGATGGCTTGTCTGGTTTCTAGGGCAATGGTCAATTAGCTAGGAAAAGAGGCCATCAGGCCTGGGTCCATAATGTTTCACTATTACAAATTTCAAAAGCTCAGCCCACTCTTAGTGGAATATTAAGTTGTAAGGGCATAAGACTGAAGCCTAGAAATGAGAGAGTGGAAGGGGAATGGGAATTAAAGTACCTCATTAAGTACCTCCCATAACCTCTTAAACCATCTAAATGCGAAGTTCCTCCAATGGTGAAAATACACCATCCTTACCATACGTTACTGTTTCAGTAATGGAGACCTCCTTTTCTGATACAATAGAATATCTATATTTCCATATAGCATTTACTTGCTAGGACCTTATTTTAAAAACCCCTTATGCTAATAATTTATATTATTTACTTTTTTTGGTTGTTAAAAATAGTTCTGCCTCTCAACTTTAATCACAGAGAATTCCAAATTAAAACCAGGCAGAAGGGATCCCTGGGTGGCGCAGCAGTTTGGCGCCTGCCTTTGGCACAGGGCGCGATCCTGGAGACCCGGGATCGAGTCCCACATCGGGCTCCCGGTGCATGGAGCCTGCTTCTCCCTCTGCCTTTGTCTCTGCCTCTCTCTCTCTCTCAATCTGTGACTATCATAAATAAAATAAATAAATAAATAAATAAATAAATAAATAAATAAATAAATAAATAAGGAAATGCATCTTTAAAAAATAAAAAATAAAAAAAAAACAGGCAGAGATATTGCTATTCACCTATCAGATCAACATATATTTAAAACTGACAATATACTCGGATGACAAAGCTTCAGGAAAAGAGGTATTTTTGTATACCGTTGATGAGGATGTAAAATGGCATAGATCCTAAAGAGAGAATTTGGTAATCTCTAAATTTACCTTCTGACCCAGAAATCCCATTTCTAGGAATCCATCTCAAAGATACACTGGCAAAAAATACAAAATGATTTGTATACTAGGTTATTCATTTTGGCATAATTTGTAATCTCCAAAACTTGCAAACAATGGCTGTCCGTCAATAAGGTACTGGCTGAATAAACTATAGTACATTCACAGGATAAAATACTACAGTTATAACAAGGTCCAAGGAAGACATTTATAGACTGATACGATCACTAGGATAGAAGTTGAAAAAAAAAAAAAGGGCAAGATCAAAAAGTATATATAACATGTTGCCTTTTTGTTAAGAACATGCTGGTGAGTAGAACCTAAGAGGCAGAGCCTGGATATTTGTGGCCATCTTGCTTCAGTTATAGGATTCTTTCCCACGGGCTTGAGTTTCCCTTAAGAGTTGGACAAAACTCTATGCTGTACTAGAAAGTAAAACTGCTCAGCACAAGGGCACAGAGCTCTGTACATGGAGCTCTTTCCATACCACAGAGATGGGCCTTGCTTGTGCCCCATGGAGACTACATTTTTCCAGTGCTCTCAGGAGGTGTCAGAGAAAGACATCCTCAATTTAATTAGCCTGATACTCTTCTCCAGGGAAGACCTATGAACCTGAGGGCTGGTGTGCACGTGCTTACTATTATATACAATTTTATATATATATATATATATATATATATATACACACACACACACACACACACATCATATATATACACATACTTATAGTGTTATATAATGTGTATATATTTATATGTATTTGCTTATGCAAAAAGAAGCACTGAAAAAGAACTAAGAAAATGGTTATCTATAGGAAGAATGAGGTCACGGAGTGAATGAAAGGCAAGAATGACTTCTCTGAATATATCCTGTTATATGTATGTTACCGGTTTGCAAAACAGCCACCAATTCTTCCCATCCCTGTCTGTGTGCCATTTGGAATGTGCCTTTACTGTTGTTCCATTAAAAAGTAAAGTCTGGGGACACCTGGTGGCTCAGTGGTTGAGTGTCTGCCTTCGGCTCATGGACAGAGTCCTGCATTGGGCTCCTGTGGAGAGCCCGCTTCTCCCTCTGCCTAGGTCTCTGCCTCTTTCTCTCTCTTTTTTTTTTTAAGATTTTATTTTATTTATTTATTCATGAGAGACACACAGAGAGAGGCAGAGACACAGGCAGAAGGAGAAGTGGGCTCCCTGCAAGGAGCCCAATGAGGGATTCAATCCCGGGACCAGGATCATACCCTGAGCTGAAAGCAGACACTCAACTGCTGAGCCACTCAGGAGTCCCATCTGCCTCTCTGTCTCTCATGAATAAATAAATAAAATCTTAAAAAAAAATTTAAAAATTAAAAATAAAAAGTAAAGTCTGTATCTCTACCCTTTGAATTTGGACTTGGCTATCCGAACTGATTCAGCCAATGGTACATCAGCAAATGTGAGGGAAATAAGACATCTGAAAAACACGTGGGTGTGTTGCTGGGAACCATTCTGCCATCATGGGAAAGAGCCTGAGCTAGCGTCCTGGAGAATGAGATCAGGTTCAAAGAGACGCCATCCAACCTTTCCAGATGAGGTGCCAGAACATATGAGGCAATCCTGCACTTCTGGTACATAACAGAAAAACTGTTCAGCCAACCTACCAAATCATGAGAAAGAATAAATGCTTGTTGTTTCAAGGTATTTTGGGTGGTTTGTTACCCCGCAAAACCACTGTTGCTTTATGTTATTTTTAACTTGGAATCATAAAATATTTTAGAACAATCAGATCAAATTTTAGAAAAAACAATTTTTATAAAAAATTATAAAAAAGAATGCAGACATTGATTTATGTTGGAAGGTAATTATTGATCAACTTATTACTCTACCTTAAACCTCAGTTAACTGTATAAAATTTTCAATCAAAAAAGTTCATTACCATTCTACATATTTCAAACTATGATAGCTCAAAACATATTAGATTTAAAAATTACTTTTTAAAAATTTACTTAAAAATTACTTTTCAAGTAGACTGGATGATAACACAGCAGATGTATTTTTATTCATGATTTTACCACAGGAGCCTTAGATTTAACCGTGTAATTGAAGATCTTGATGAAGAGTCTAGAAATTCTTCCTTTCCTAAGAATGCAGAAATAGAAAATAAATTTTCATGGCTTAAGAGTTGTCAAATTCAACTTCAACTTTGCTTAAAAAAATTATATACATGTAAACAATATGTATCTATATATACATGTTAGATGTATTTTATATATTTTGAACTATGGCACTTTAGTCATTGCTGATAATATCTGAGAAATATGAAAACAGTTCTGCATATAGACATGGCTATAGGACTACATCCACGTCATTATCTGTATCTATGTAAAATCTGCATTTTCTGGGGCACCTGGTGGCTCAATGGTTGAGTGTCTGCCTTTGGCTAGGTCATGATTCTGTCCTGGGATTGAGTCCCATATCAGGTTCCCCTCAGGGAGCCTGCTTCTCCCTCTGCCTGTGTCTCTGCCTTTCTGTGGCTTTCATGAATAAATAAAAAAACCTTAAAAAAAAAAAAAAAACAACTGCATTTTCTGGCAGAGGTGAAGAATACAGCTAAACTTCAGGTAACTAATATAGTTTCCACCATTAATACACTTAAAATATCACATAACAGGAGCACCCGGGTGCCTCAGTCAGTTAAGCATCTGCCTTCAGCTCAGGTCATGATCCCAGGGTTCTGGAATTGAGCCCCTCATCAGGCTCCCTGCTCTCAGAGGGGGGGCCTGCTTCTCCCTCTCCCTCCACTGCTCCCCAGCTTGTCCTGCTCTCTCTTTCTGTCAAATAAATAAATGAAATCTTAAAAAAATAATAATAAAAATAAAAATCACATACTAATGAAAGTGTGACAAATATCTTTTGTAATCACAAGGCTAGAAAGTTTATAGGCAGAATGTCTATAAAATAATTATACAATACACTGTTGAAAAAAACAAATTCCTATCGTCTTACCAGCTATTTTGAGGGGCTTCCTGCAGATCTTATATTACTTTGATTCATATTAATCCACAAGCTTCTTAAATACTTTCCTATGAAAAGAAAAAAATATATATATGATTTTAATGTCTCATATAGCTCTTCTGTGAAAATTAAAGAGAAAGGTGCAGTTTCATTTAATTAAAGTTGTATTTGAATAGAGCTTTATCATCTCTTCAGAAGAAATGTGGATAAAGTACAGAAACTTAAAAGACACTAAGAATATTTAGCACAACCTTCTTATTAAGGAAATGAATAGCTAGATTCAGAAACTGTGTGCTTTCCTCACACAAATTAGAAACAGTCAGTGGTTGTTTTTCTAACTAGCACTCAGGCTTCGGAGCCTTGAGCATGGATCTTGGCATCACAGACACCTGGGTGCCAATTTGAGTTTGTAGGCGTCTCCAAGCCTTAGTTTCTTCATAGTACAATCACTACCTTGACTGTAGTGATGGTTTTACAAATACATTCACATATCAAAATTTACCAAATTCTCTCACTATAAATATGTACTGTTTGTTATAAATTAACTATATTTAAGGGCACCTGGGTGGCTCCATTGTCTTGATTTCACCTCAGGTCATGATCTCAGGGGCATGAGACGGAGGCCCGCCCCCCCCCCCCCCCCCCCCGCCCCCGCCGTGGGGCTCCTTGCTGGGCAAGGAATCTGCTTAAGATTCTTTCCCTTTCTGCCCCTCCCCTAACTTGCACATATGTATGCTTTCTCTCTAAAACAATATAATCTCTTAAGCTAAATTTTTAAAAATCTGATTTTCATTTAAAGTTGTCAGAATGGAAAGGAGCTGGGAGGATGGAAGAAACAGGTGAAGGGGAGTTGGAGGTACAGGCTTCCAGTTACAGAATAAGTCACAGGGATGAAAAGTACAGCATAGGGAATATAGTCAATGATATCATAATAGTGTTGTGTGGTGACAGGTGGTGGCTACACTTGTGGTGAGCACAGCATCATGTACAGTTGTTGAATCTCTATGTTGTACACATGAAACTAAGGTAACATTGTGTGTCACGTATACTTTGATACATTTTTAAAACTAAAATTCTCTAAAGAGGGGCACCTGGTGGCTCAGTAGTTGAGCATCTGCCTTTGGCTCAGGGCATGATCCCAGGGTCCTGGGATCAAGTCCCGCATCAGGCTCCCTGCACAGAGCCTGCTTCTCCCTCTGCCTGTGTCTCTGCCTCTCTCTGTGTGTGTCTCTCATGAATAAATAAATAAAATCTTAAAAAAAAAATTCTCTTGGGATCCCTGGGTGGCACAGCGGTTTGGCGCCTGCCTTTGGCCCAGGGCGCGATCCTGGAGACCCGGGATCGAATTCCACATTGGGCTCCCGGTGCATGGAGCCTGCTTCTCCCTCTGCCTATGTCTCTGCCTCTCTCTCTTTTTCTGTGACTATCATAAATAAATAAAAATTTAAAAAAAATTCTTTAAAGAAAAAAAATGTAGAAAATGTAGAAGCTTGACCTTGGCATGTATCTTCCTTCACTTCAAAGAGGCCACTTTATAAGAGTATAAACTCATAATGTTCATGAATAAATGGGAGAAGAGCCATCAGATAAAATGTTTTGACAAATTGCTAGAGGACAAAAAATAGACGGTGAGATGATAACAGATAAAGGACCTAAGAAGCTGAAACTAGGGCAAGGCTTCCATTTTTTTTTTTCTTTTTCTTTGTTTCCTTTTTTTTTTTTTTTTTTTTTTTTAAGAAAGAGAATACACATGCAAGCTGGGTGAGGGGGAGTGGGAGGGAGATAATCTTAAGCAGGCTCCATGCCTTGCAGAGACTGTTGGGGAGCTCTATCTCACAATACTGAGATCATGACCTGAACCAAAATCAGGAGTCAGATGCTTAACTGACAGAGCCACTCAGGTACCCTGACTTCTTAAACATTTGTGAGTTTGAGCCCACATAGAGAACATGGGAATATGTGTATTGTGTACTGGGGTGAACAGGGATGGCATGCTATATATCTCTGAGTTGCTGAGGGGAAATTTCTGCATACCAGTAACTGATTCAAAGCAAAATTCTGGCCTCAGAAACAGCTGAAGGGAGATTCAGGAGGAACTCTTCTTGCAGAATTCCAGAGAGGCTAAGGACTCAGAAAACCAAAATTCCAGGGAGAGCAAAACTGAGGCAGAGAACTAAAATCAAGGCGATTATGTCAGCTTTTCTCTAACCATTGAATGAGGGAGAAACCACACATTCTGCTGTAAATAACTTGAATAGGCCTTAAAGAAAGAGCCAACCACCTTCTGGGAACCTAACATAGTGTTGTTCCACTGGCCTGAATGTTAAAATCCTGCTTTGACTTTCACAGTCCCTGTGGCAGCAAGCAACAAGGGAAGCATGCAGATTAAAACCAGCAGAGAAATGACGCCAAAGCAAGTAAGATCCCAGCCTAGTGGTGATCACCATCTAGTGGTGATTTGTCCTAAAGGGACACAGAGTTCCCCAAGTGATGAAACATACCCTTGTCTAACGGATATATTGTGGCTAAAATGCAGAAACAGATTTCATATAATGTCAAACTTAACAAGGCATTTAAAAATATTTCTATTTTAAAGTATTGAAATGAAATTTAAGTGTTTAAATTATTTCATTCACTTAACATGCCTGACAGTATCCTAAGTGCTGGAGCTGAGTCTGTCCCTGGAGACAGTAAAAAAAAAAAACAAAAAAAAACAAAAAACAGACATCAGGAGGGTGCTAAGTGCTCTGACAGTGTGTGCACAGGGGGCTGGGGGAGCATGGAAAAAGGCCACTCCACCCAGAACAGAATCATTACTAAGCACCAATCTGGCCAAATGAGGATTTTAACTTCCCTCAAAGTAGCCCCACAGGCAGGTATAATTACATATCTATATTTACATAAATGAAAACCTTGTCACGGAGAAACTGTGACCACAAGGCTACACAGTGTTAAAGTAGAATGTGAACCTAATTCTCTCTAGCTCCAAACCCAACCTTTTTTTACTACAGCATGCTGGGAAGCTGATTTATGTAGAAAAACTTCATTTTCTGAAAATATAGGGTGAGAGTCTTAAAAGTTTTAATATGCTGTCTATATGAGATGATACTGTTGATTAAACTAACAGAAATGGGTTTAGTTTTATCCACCAAATAGCAGGCTTTCTTTCTCTTTTTTTAATGAACAAGGTATCCATTATCATATCCTTAAGCCTTAAATTTCATAAAATGCCTTTTCCTTCCCTCTCTTTTTATTCTCTACTCCTTCCTTTACAGAAGCTAGCAAGCCACCCAACCAACAGTTCTGTAATGTTACAAACACACACCCCCACAACTTCACATTATTAATGAATGACACAGAAGTTTCACACATACAAAAAAAAATATGCCAATTCAAGAAAAATATATTGTTTTTCTAGTTTAGTGACTCATAAGGGAAAAATGTGAGGTCAGCAACAACAGAGAAAGTGGAACCCTGGGGGAAAAAATCTTGTTTTATAACATAAGTCTATTTCAGAAAACAAATGAGAGCTTTACTTTGATGAAAACAGTTTAAATTATATATAGAAATTTCATTAGATAAAAAAAATCTGCCTACGATGCATAAGTTTGAGTAATAGACTTAATTTATATTCCCAAAGAGATTACATTCAATACTTTCTAAAACTAGTTCTTTTTGCTAGATCAAAAATAGAGAAAAAGGGATAAAAACATCTGGCAGAAAAGATGGTAAATATTAACTTGATGAAATTATAATATTGAATGAATATTCATACTATTGATAATAGTATGTTTTTTAGTTTTTAAAAATTGCTAATACATTAAAATGAGGTCTATGCAATGGATGTATAGATCTATCCTATCTTCACACTTATTTCCACATATTTAAGTACCCCTGTTTTTGTTTCTTGTGAATACTTTTAGTTCCTTTATGCAAAGACAAATATGAATATTGTTTCCTTTGCTTTTGTTTTGACTAACAAAGGTGGTACAATGCACAGAAAACATCCAGCTTTTCATGTTGTGCACTGTATAATCCCTGAGGGTATGGGTCATATACATGATGTAAACAGGTCCTCTGGTGTATGCAGTAGTCCTGTAAACTGTAAGCACAGCTGTGCAATCTCATTTTTATAAATTAATGTAGAACCTGGAATTATTTCCATTTTTACATAGCATCCTTTTTTTTTTTTTAAGAGAGGGAGAGGAAGAATCTTAAGCAGGCTCCGTGCCCAGTGTGGAGCCTGATGTAGGGCTCAAGTTCACAACCCTGAGATCACAACCTGAGCTGAAATCAAGAGTTGGATACTTAATTGATGGAGCCATCCAGGGTCCTCCCTAATTTTTTTAAATTTTTCATAGCTGCATGGCATTCCATTTTATGGAATTTATTCTCATATTTATTTATTCCCTTATTGATAGATACTTAAATTGTTTCACATATTTTGCTATTATAAACATGCTGCAATGAAAACCCTATATATGGGTCACATCACATGTGTGCAAATTTATCTGTATGACAAATTCACAAAAACAGATCAGCATTTATATACACTTGATTTTTTTCACTTGATAATTTGATAGAAATTGCCAAACTGCCCTCAATCATCAACTGCCCTAATTTACCACCTATCCAATAATAGTGCCTGATACTCCACGTTCTCATTAACATGGTGTATTATATAACTTCTGGATTTTTGACAATCTTATTGATGAAAATAGTATCTTAAGATTTTTTTTTAAAGATTTTATTTATTTATTCATGAGAGACACACAGAGAGAGGCAGAGACACAGGCAGGTTCCATGCAGGGAGCCCGACGTGGGACTCGACCCCGGGTCTCCAGGATCACACTCTGGGCTGAAGCTGGCGCTAAACCGCTGAGCCACCTGGGCTGCCCAGTACCTTAAGGTCTTAAGATTGATGAGGATAAACATTTGTTTTTATGTTTTAAGAACCATTTAGTGTCTCCTTTTATGTGAACTTTATTTTTATATCTTTTGCCAATTTTTTTTTGTGGTTAACTTTTTTCCATCTAGGTTTTAAGAGTTCTTTTTTCCCAGGGAGACT